TATAATAATATTATGATATTTCATTAAGAAATAGTCATATATAAAGTTTTTAACATAATCGATGTAAGCAAATTGGTATATATTCTTGACGTATGAAAATGCTTATCTACCATACTGGGGTACCATCTGCCTTAAATGACAGTGCTGTCATTATTTGATTCATGTGTATAATCTATTGTAGTATTTTTATATAATATTATTATTGTTAAACATTGTTATTGTATCATAATAACCTAGTCAAACTTATCTAATTAAGTCATTATAATAATATAAAGTATGTCTAGTTGATTTTAGTCATGTTTTTTATGGTTTTGTATGTAGGCGAATGATATTTCATGCAATGATTTTTCTAAAGGAAAATTAATTTTGTATAAGATTACATCTTCATTATTATTATGGACATAAATGAAAAATTGACTAAATTATCACTTCCTATAATAACACTCAACTGACAATACTTAGCAATAGAATCCTTTCGTTAAAAAAGGGATTGGTGTATATTATTAATGTAGTATTAGTTATTTACTAATAAATTATGCCATTATACGGCAGACTCGCAGTCAAGATAGAATATGATATTGGGTCGTAAAATAGGACTATTTTCCGTTTTCCCGCTGTACACTTATATATATATAACAGGGATGTGCAGCGCTGAGCTCTTACATGGCTAGTATGTCGCCACGCATCCTCGACATTTCTTCTGGCATTTCGTCAAAGAAGCGAGAAAGAACGAGTTTTTTCCAGTCACTGCTCCACGACCTACATGACCGTGGCTGGGGTAGACGAGCGGATGTTAGAGGAAAGTAAGGCTTCAGTTGTTTGTCTAGTCATTTGTACCCTGCGATGACCAACCCTTTTTCAATGTCTGAAAACAATTCCGTTTTCCTTTTCCGCCCTCGCGTCGTGCGTCACTTTCGCATGTTGCTGCCAAGTACCGAAACTTTCTACATTGACCCGTCATCCTGAACGGATTTATGTGTGTTGGGACCATGGAAATAATATACTAGGCAGACTGGTGTATACAGGTGTTACTGGTAGATACAAGTGTTTATATATTCTTACTATGTGGGGGTCGACTCGAAAGCCTATAGTGCTACTTTGACCCTCACAGCACTCATTTGTTAGTAATTTCACTATTCGTTTTATATTTATACTCTCACGTTACACCTATCATATATATATACACCTTGACCTGATGTATTGTAACTAAGTTATGTGCTAAATAACGAATCTGAATCTGAAAGCTTCTATGGTTGGGGCAGAGGGGGACGCTCATGTAGAACTGTAAGGGAGTATAATATTATCAGGATATTATGCGTGATCGAGTATTCAGCGACTCAGCTGTTTATATCTCTCGCATATCATGGATTTCTCGCATATCATGGATTTTTGCACAGGGACCTGAGGCATAGTTTGGAAAACGTTAAGAGCAGTTCAGCCAACCATGCATCGAGTTATGTTACATAAAAAGAGTTATGTTACGTAAAAAGAGGTTTTATGTAACATAACTCATTTTATGTAACATCACTCGATGGGTTGCTGAACTGCTTTTAACCTTTTATAAACTATGCCTCAGGTCCCTGTGGATTTTTGGCGTGTTATTTTTTAAATATTTTATAGCAGCACTGAGGAATATTTAGTGTAACGGTGGCCAGTACGGGGAACGGCGCCAAAATGTAACGTCTGGCGTGACGCTACACAGGTGTGACGAGGATATAGGAGATGGGAGATAATTATATAATATTATTATTGTTAAACATTGTTATTGTATCATAATAACCTAGTCAAACTATATCTATTAAAGTCATTATAAAATAATAAAAAGTATGTCTAGTTGATTTTAGTCAATGTTTTTTATGGTTTTGGTATGTGCGAATGATTATTTCATGCAATGATTTTTCTAAAGGAAATTAATTTTGTATAAGATTACATCTTCATTATTATTATGGACATAAATGAAAAATTGACTAAATTTCACTTCCTATAAATAACACTCAACATGACAATACTTAGCAATAGCGTTAAAAAAGGGATTGGTGTATATTATAATGTAGTATTAGTTATTTACTAATAAATTATGCCATTAATACGCAGACTCGCATTCAAAGTAGAATAATATTGTCGTAAAATAGGACTATTTTCCCGTTTTCCCGCTGTACACTCTAGGTATTAGAAGCTTTTTATATTGTAATCATAAGTATATGATAATCATATCATATAATTATAATATAATGTAGTATTAGTTATTAACTAATAAATGTTAACACGTTCTGTTAATACGCTTTTTACTCAGCTATTTCGAGCCTAACCCGAGATACACGAACCCGATTCTCTCCCGCATGAATTGTTTGCGTTGTTTCCAGCAATATTTCCAGCGACTCCATCGAAAGGATTTGCGAAGACGATGACGGTTCGTTCGCGATGCTGGGATGCTTGCATCGTTGTCGACGGAGGCCTATCATTTATCTTCAACGACGGAGCCATGGTCCACTTAGAAATACTGCCGGAGGATGCGTTGAAAACCGTCTCCTTATAACGACGGCAGGATTTAGCTGTCATTGTTTTTCAATTGGGAAAGATATTTTCTGTGACGTGTGATTTCGCAAACCACATAGTGGGAGTGAACGTTTATCAGTGTCGCACAGCTGTACCTATGACTAATCGATACAATTACACGATCAGTGTGAAAGCTATCATCAACTAAGATTTGGAGTAGAGTAACAGTTAGCGAGGGTAAGGTGCAATCATCCCATCTCAATGCCATAACATCTCATTTTCAGTAATAGCCCCTTAGATATGGTACAGCACAGAACATACCTTGTGTTTTTCGACAGTGAAATGACCGAGAATCTTTTACACCGTTTCACGCTCACCGCCCCTCCTTACACCAATCATCCACCAGCTGTATTTAACTATACATGCCTTGCACCATCCACGCAGTGCAGTGCGCATCCATGCATCTCTCACACTGTGCAGCACCATGCCAACAGAGGATATGCCTTATGGTGATAGTGTATCCTTGCTCATGTATCTGGTTGTCTGTATACTAGGGAAGAGTTAGGCGAATCTAACGTGGTCTACCACAGTTCAAAACTAGTGGTACGTCACTGACCGCTCAAGCTGGTGTCGATCTTAGCAAAAGCTGTGGGGGGAATCTGTTACATCACGTGTTTAATCTACTGTGTAGATAGGTTGGTTGTTCGTGAACCCATGTTGATTGAATAGACGTGGCTTCCGCGTTTGAGAGATATCCAGATTAACTGAGTGGGAAGTTAGAGTGATTTAATATTGGTTTGTAGGTATCATGGAACGTGGCAATGGATGGTTAATTATACTTAATTATGTAAATTATAATCGTAATTATTTGGCAATGTGTTGGGGTTAATCTGGGGGATGATATCCGGATGACGATATCCCATACGGGTAATTCAAAAGCTAAAATACTACTGTGAGTTGTTCGTTATACGTGTGTTAATGGCAATACGGCAATGAGTCATTGCGTTCTGCTATGAATTTTGCTGTGCTATTTAAAGCCTCAGTCATCCGTCTGTGTTAAAGGTTTCGCTAAACGTTTGATACCTCGTCATGCGTGATCGATTTTATCATCATGAAGTTATCGGTGATTCTATTCTATTGTGTACGTGTGAGAGTGTGTGTAGTATTCATCACATGCAATATAATACTTATCTATGCAGCAGCAGCAGCAGCAAGAGATATAGACACGGTTTCAGTGAAACCTCATTGCTAATTGATAGAAATGAGTACGCGCGTCTTTCGCTGTATTTTTGTTATGTTAAACAAACCTGGACGTTGTTTGTGAATTTTCGCTGTAACTCGGCGTCGTGTTTCACTGTTTCTCTCCGTAAAAATGCTCCATGTGAATAAAGACTATGTGTTAATCTGTATGCCTATACGATAGCGCCTTACTGAATAGATCGTGCGACAAAGGTTGTTCATAATCCGTCTAGTGATCAGTTAAAGTGCATGCAATGGACGTCCACCCGTCATTTCAGTTACGCTTAACAGCTTCTTTTAAAGATTTTTGATCTTTGTAAGAGTGGAACTAGAACAATTTTGTGACTTTTAGCGAGATTGAGGAAATTGTAAAAATTAGGCTGTGCTGCCGCAATATTGTTGACAGCCTTGTAGTGTGTGAATTTTGCTAATGATCACGGGAATGCTTTTTCCCAGTACGGCGTTTTATGATAAGTTAGTTTTTGCAGTTTAAATGGTTTCTCTCCATAGTCAAATTTTTATATCGCTATATATATTCTACGATTGTCGTAATTTTCGTAAGTGTTGCAGGGAATCATGACTTCTCTCACCATAAACCGTTGTCAACCTTCCTACAATGCAATGTTCTTGAACTGCCCTCATAGTATTCCGCACCTCCTTGATTGTTTTTTTCTTTTCCAACTCCAAACTCTTTCCTCATTAGATATTACAGGAGCCCGTTGTCAGAAATAAAATTAGTCATAACATTTGTCTTAACGTTATTTTATTTCTCGTAGACCGGACACCTATACACTGCGGATGAGTAACTTTACCAAGTTTCTGTCAATGATCTACGAGAAAACGTTCGTCTCAAGACTAATTTTATCTTTGACAACGGGTCCCTTTGTCTAGATGTGCATCGTTCTAGCTCGTGTGGCTGTACTTAGACTACTCTGAAATAACTTGGGGAATCTCTACATGGAACGTTACTTGTGAACAGTTCCACGTTTATACACGCACCTGATGGAAAACATCTTTACGCTTCGCTTGTATCAATAAATTATTCATTTTATATTGTATGTACACTCTCTCGTCTTGAGCATTTTCTACTTATAATATTAGTTAAGAAAATGTTGTAATTACCTGAGCTTACGGTTTGCATATTAGCTTACGGTTTTCATAAAACAAGACATCATATTTTCATAATTTGTGTAATAGTAATAAATATTCATATAAATAATATTATAAATGATAATAATGCGCATAATGGTAAGTGATATATATATAAATGTATATATATTCATGCCCGTACCCAAGGGAGGAAGTCGACTGCCATAACCAGGAGTGAACAATAATATATGCAATATGTATTGCGATATCAAATGACAGAATACCAATCGTACGGTGCGTGACTGAAGATGAATAATGTCCAGCTACCGTGACAGCACGTGCTATTTCAGTTGCTCATGTTCCATAGCGTATAATGGAAATTGAGCGTTGAAAAGATAATGTCACGAGAGCATCAATACGTGAGTGGAGGATCCCTGTACTCACCATGATGAGCACGCAAACACAACACACACACACGCACGCACGCACGCACACAGTTCTTTAATATATGGGACAAAATTACACCTATTTGATTCTATTTCTATATTCATATTATTCTATATATATATATCAGGAGTAGATAATAGGGAATTATTATCTACTCCCCTATCACCCTATATCTCCTCTATACACCCTATTATCTACTCCTGATATATATATGTGTGTGTGTGCGTGCGTGCGTGCGTGCGTGCGTGCGTGCGTGCGTGCGTGCGTGCGTGC